TCTTACAGATCGCTAATTTGTAATTTTTGAAGCCTGAATTCGGCAACTAAAACATGAAGATACTGATTCAAAACGCTTTTAAAAAATCGATTTTGGGTCAAAGAAATCCCTCATGTTATCTATCTAGTTATATTGCATTCTCCTACTGCATTCGATTGCATGCCTAAGGGAAAGATTTCTTCGTGGAGGACTTTCTAAGGGAAACTGGCTCGTATACACGTTACACATGGGGAAAACCACGAAAACGCCCATGCAGCCAGCCCGTTCGCGGGATTCGAACCTCGGACCGAACTACCAGTGTTCAGCGTCTTTACCGCTCGGCCGCTGGTGGGCTATTTAATTAAGGAACGACCATCTAAGTTTAAAAACAGCGTACCGTCATTCCACACCGTTTAGTGTTCAATGATAGCTAGTTTTATAACTGAACCATTTTTCTCTGAAGAGCAGGCGACAGCTAGACCACTGTGATTGCAGCTCACTTAGAGTCAATGTTAAAATATTTCGTGATACATGAATTGCATGGAACTGCAGTAACATGGCATTTTAGATACTACGATTTTTATGCAGGGCTGGGCCCCACCTCAAGTGTGTCGCACATTTGCTTAGGAAACATTTCACGAATAAACGTCTTATAAGCCGACAATTCCCCTCTTCCCACCAGACCTCAATCTCTGTGACTTTTGGCTATGGGGTTATCTCAAAAGCACTATTTATGGTGATATTCTAAACAATTTGGCAGAAATGAAAAATGTCCGTAACATTCCTCCTGATATGCTAAGAACTGCTGTTAAGAATGCAGTAACAGGATTTAACTTGCTCTCGGAAAATGCTGGACGCTACATTGAACATGCTTTGTAACACGTTTCGGAAACTATTAAACACATTTTAAACAGATGTTTTCATGCCTTATTTCATTTACAAATATTGTATACAGCGCCATTTTTCCACTGGTGGTGAGTTTTTTAACTCTTTTTTTTTTTTTTTTTTTTTTTTTTTTTTTTTTTTTTTTTTTTTTTCCGAAGGAAAATAAATTTCCGTAACCTCCTTTACACGATTCCCAAGTTTGATAACATTTAGTCCAGTAGTTTTTCTTTTATGACCATTTCAAATTGGAACTTTAATTATAACCACCATGTAAATTAAACTTTAAAAGTCTGACAGTTTGGTTCAAGTCCCAGCTTTAAAAATATATATTAAATATAAATAATATTTATATTAATTAATCCTCTTAGAAAGAATGTTTTAAGAAGCTAATTTTTCACTCGCGTTATAGATTGTATAAAAAACATGATCTTTAATATGATTTAGATTGTTTCAGCCGATATAAGAATCGGGTTACTCGGTGGTACAGAATAAACCCTGCTAGACTTTTTTATTTCTTTGTCATTTAGCTTTGGACTTTGCTCTATACTTTGTTTATAGTAAAAATGTCTAGAAAATGCAAAGCTGTCTTCAGCTGAAACGCAGTTGATGCAATTGATATTTTAAAAAAAATGACAAGAATGCAAAATTTACGGAAGTCTAGGAATCGAAAAATCTTAATTTTTTTGTGTGAGCACTGAAAATAACTGTAGAAGGAAAGAAGAAAATTAGGGAGAAAAGTAAGCAAAAATTTGCAGGGAAATTTGGCTGTCAGACATACCAAGATGTTTCAAAAAGTTGGACACTTTTGAATATACCTTCAGGATACTTCAAAGAATTTATGTGTGTTCAAAAAAGAAAACACTTGGACGTGTACACCACCACCACCAAATACCATCAATTGAGCTTGTGTTAACAGAAAAGACAAAAACGATATCATTACAGATTAAAGTGAAGAGCGACTGGTTGTAGACTATATGGTTGTATAAATTTAAATTACGTTATAGGAACATCATATATCGTATCATAAATGGAGAATCCCATGATTTTCTCAGTCGAATTATTTGAAGATTCAGGAGTTTTATCCAGTGATGTATGTGGATGTCACCTAAAGACGTTTTTTTTTTCCTCCTGATGAAACAGCGGCTGAGAGCGGTAAATCTCTGAACACTGGTAGTTCGGTCCGAGGTTCGAATCCCGCGAACGGGCTGCCTGCATGGGCGTTTTTCGTGGTTTTTCCCCATATGTAACGTGTATGCGAGTCAGTTTTCCCTTAGAAAAGTACTCCACGAAGGCATCCCTTTTCCCTTAGGCATAATTAAATAAACCAAAACCTCTTGATGAAATCAGACTTTCCTTTCATCTCATACCTTCAAAATGTTTATCCTCTAAAGACTGATAAAGGCTCTGACCAAATACTTCGTGATGAACTTTCTAAGAGATACACCAGCTAGCATACACGGTACACATGAGAAAATCCATGAAAACGCCCATGTAACCAGCCCGTTTTACCGGGATTTGAACCCCGGGAGTGAACTACCAGTGTTCAGCAACGATTCTCTACCGCTCGGCCGTTTGGTGGGCCTTTATGAAATGGAAGGCGATAACTTTATTTAAAAGGATTGTCCAGAAATACCAAGATGTTTCGAAAAGTGGATGCTTTTTAATATACTTGCAGAATGCCCGGGAAAAAGAGCAAGAATAAAGTAGAATGCCTGAAGAAAAAGAAAAGAAAAAATAAATTTTTTGCTTAAAATTTAATATTTTTCTACTTTTTTTAATTTTAATAAAAACTTTTTAATCTTATGATATTTGATTCTTGCGATTTCAAAAATAAAATATTTGACTAAAATATGAATAACATTTTAAGAAACCAAATGTAGGATAAAACTGTGTAAAGCAATGGGCACACAATGATTAAACTGTTTAAAGCAGTGTATGCAAGTCATCCTATGTTAAAATGTCCGTTATACATCTCTCTTATTTATATATTTCTTTCTGAACGGAACATTGAAAGGCGTGTTAACTGTGCTTTACAGTAATTTCTCTTTTAATATATGCAGTTTTCAAATGCATCATAGTCTGGGTTTTACAAAATATTTCTTCGGAAAGAAACGCAATTCAAATAAATAAAATCAAATTCTGGAAAATTTATATTAATAAATATATTTAAAATGCTCAGTTCGAAGGAATAAATAGAAAATTTTAAAACAATTATCTGAAGAGACAATGCAGCACAAACAATTAAAATAAAAGTATAAAAATTTAAAAATTTCCTAAAATAATAACTATGACAAATAAATATATATAAAGAAAACTATTTGAAAAAAAAAAAAAAAAAAAAAAAAATAAATAACGCTGCACCGTTATTGACGCAGTTTGAATAGGTAAATAGAAATTTTTAAAACAGTTATTCTTCGAAGAAAAAAATGCAACTTAAACAATTAAAATGAAATTCGAAAAAGAAAAAATTACTTAAAATAATAACAGTTATAATAAAAAATATATAAAGAATATTATTTGGAAAAAAAGAATGATGGTGACTTTTTTCCTCTCATGGGAAAGGAAACAAGGTTGCCATATATTAAGACCGTTTCGCCAAGTGAACTATTCTTGGCGCAAACTGAACAAAAAGTGCCAAAAATAAATTTGTGAATTTCTCCGTAAATTTCGGTCCAAATTTTTTACAAAATTTCATATTTAGGGCGTAATTTGAGTCGTAGAAAACCGAAAAATATGTAAAAAAAAAAAAAAATTGGTATGTTATTTCAGAAAAAATTTCCGATTTTGTGTCAAAATACCTATGTTAGAATAGTGCTATATATAAATCTAATATATATATCCTAAGTCGCGCTTTCGAGACATGAAGAACGCAATTTGAATTTTGTCAATCGCCCAGTAGAACGGGAGATATAGCACTGTCCCTTTTTTATTTTTTTTTTTATTTATTTTTTTTTTTTTTTTTTTTTTGTTTGAGCAGTGTACATTTTTAAACATAAACGTTTTTTAGAAAAAAAAATCCTGTTGTAAAGGTGTTAAGCTCACTTTGTTAAATAAATTCGTATTTAATCGATTTATAGAAACACGAAATTTATTTTAAGTTCGTAAAACAGCTAAGTGCTTACATTTCATGACGATGTGAAAATGGAGTGCGTAGAGTAAAATCTTGCTTTCCTATAGCCCATTATGTCTCAAAATGACGCGATTTCGTCACAAAACATAAAATAAAGAAAATTCGAATTCGAATTTCGAAAAAATCGCTTCGAGGTGCACTGGCTCTTGTGTAGATGCACCTTTGTACCAAATTTCGTAGCCGTGGGTCTATAAGTTTACGCGTAGCGCGAACGAAAATCACACACACACACACAGACAGACTCTTTGTTTTTATTATATGTAGAGATGATGTAACATTCTTATATTTTATTTACATCTAAATATCAAATTTTAAATTCATATATAGCGTGAGTATGAATTTGTTAATAAAACGTAGGAAGGGATTTTGAACAAAAATTTATGTGTGTGCTAATTTTAACTCAGTAAATGCAAAGATCACAGAATGAAAGTAATTGCACTCATTCTGTGTTCTTTGAAAAGAAGCATAGGGATTGATACACGAAACTTTGTTTTGAGTTCTGATTATAGAGCAACAAGAACAGGCAAAAATTATACAAAGGAACTATTTAAAACGACTGGAACTCACATCAATTCCTTGTGGAGGAAAACGAAGTGCTTCTTTGCAGATCATGATTACTTTTACAGAGTAGTTTGTTATATTCTCCTTGCTGTTGACTCGGAAGAGAAGAAACCATGAGTCCTTAATTGAATACAGCTGTATTTCAGCTCCTCTCTACTCTTCTTAAGTACCACATTTAGATCAACTCCTAAAGATCAACACCAAGATAAGATTTTCTGCCTTCTTTTAACGTTGCGTTTAATTGCTGGAAGTCTGGAATTTAGGAAATATTTAAGCTGTACATATTTACGAAATGCATTGGTTTGCATAATTTTTATCGACGATTTTCCCATGCATGAGTAGTTAGATATTTAATTCAAAGATTAACTTTTAAATGTTTTATGTATAATTTGTAACCATTAATATTTTGAATCTTTTCTTTAACTTACTCTTTCTCTTTGAATAGGGTGATGCAACTAATTCTTACAGTCTCCCAAAGTGCCATGATATTTTCTACAGTCATCATAAGAGTATATTTTTTGTGAGACTGTCGTCGGCAAATTTGTGTTGTGGGACAAAGTACAAAATGCTGTGCATTTTGCGAAGAAGAAAGCATATGTTTTGGGATAAATCACGAGTCTGTTTGCATTTTACTCCAAATTCACACAGTTTGAGACATCTGGCATTAATTCCTACATGTCTAATACATTTTTGTACTATTATCTCAAACCCATGAAGTAAAGTTTTAAAGAAATTATCAAATATATATTAGAATGACTAAATTAAAGGAAGTTTTATTATCAGAAGAAATTTTAATTAATTGATTGTTTGTATCGAATTACTTTCATAAAATTCTGCCTACCTACTTATCGAATTAATTTGATAAAATTCGTAAACATCTTCTTTAAAACTATAAAAATTGAAAATAAATTTAAGTTTTTAATAAGCTTGATTGATTCTGATTGAAAGATTTTTAATTTATCAATATCGTTATATGTAAGTCAATTTTACTTCAAAGGATTTACATTCATTAACTTCAAATATTGTCACTTTATACTAATTTTGACCTAAAATTCAAAAGCGTAAGATCCGAAATGAAAACGCATGTTTATTTTGAAAATTTACCTAAAAGCAAAAGCAATTATAGATATTATGAATAATTAAATCATTTTTTAATCTATAATTGAAGTATATGAACCTATAATTGAATATATGAATAATTTCAAAGTTTCAAAAATCATGCACTTGAGAGTTAAACGGAATATCAACAAGGCATTTTAATTCAAATACAGAAACGTTAATTGAAATTTTAATTGTAAAAATTAACAGAAAACTCTGATAGACATTTTGAAGCAGGCATTGATCAAGATGAACTTTTTAATCCATCATTGCTCAGTGTACTAACTCTTCTAAATCTATTACATATAAAGCAGCTTCATATCTTATTTTATCGTCTTTATCTTGCATTAAAGTAGTACTTTTAAAGAAATGAAACAATTTTCGACTTCAAAGCACTTTAATAATAATGATGAACTGAGTAAATAAACTGATTATAAATTGCTCTAGAAAGCTTAAATAAAATATTTCGATGTGTAGGTAAAAAACTTTTAATATATATTTTTATATTTGTATTATTAATATACATTCTGGTGTAGTCAAACGACTTTCCCCTTTTAAGTTTTACATACAGTGCGTCAGAGAAACTGCAAATTATCTTCAGTTTTCAGAAGTTCAATAAATTAATTAATGCTTCTTTCATATTTAAAGCACATTTAATCTTTAAAATATGTATGCTCTGTAATTTCATAAGATGTTACTGAGTGCTTTGTTGTGTAAAATTATAAATCATATTATGACAATTTTAGATATATATTAAGAATAACGGTGAAATATTATCAAAAATGAATGTTTTTTATTATATAATTTTATAAATATTATGAATGGCAGTGTTGCATTTTATAACAGTTTTGTAAATAAAATATTTAAAAAAAGTAAGATTTTGAAGGATTTGCTATTATAAGAGTTTATAGTAATGTTACGCTCTTTTAAATGAGTACGTGTTGCTTTTATTATAAATCTTTGTGATGCACAAAAGTAATAAAATTTCATTGTTAATTGTTGATAACACTCTTTTACATATTGTTATGGACTGACATCTATGTTTATAGTCTTAGCAATTATGCATTCGAAGCATTTTAAATTTTTTTTGCTGTTTGTTTATTTATATATGCTTAAAAATATCAATGAACCCGTAGATAAAAATATTAAAAGAAAACTTTTAATTAAATAATTATTTCAGTTCCTCTAGCATTGTTTTAATGATTCTATATTTCTGGTTTTGTAAAAGTGTTTATGAAACAAATATGTTCAATTTACTTTAAGCAAAATACTGACTAAAAATTCTAGTTGTCTGTATTAATACTGTAAATATAAATGTATTAAAAATTGTAAACAAAATGTAAATAAATAAGATTAGAATTGAGCAATCATTTAGGTATTGTTATCTATTCCATTATGTGTTAACGTTCTGTACTAATCTTTTTATTTTTAAATAAACAGAATTTTTAAGAGTACAATTAACCTTGTTAAAGAACCCAACACAGCAGCAACTATCAGTGCATTCTAATTTCATTTACTTTTATTGCAACTTTTTTTGCAACTTCTATTTCTATTTCATTATTTTATACAAAGTATACGAGAGCGATATGTCTATGTTCCATCCCAATTTGAGTAAGGAAATTCCACGGTCTGGAATCCCAAGATCTAATACTTCTTTACCCTTACCAAGAACTTCTCGGGAAGACTTTTCATGGTACTTTCTGATTATCCGTACTCACTGAAAAGTATTTATGCTGCAATAGACATAGACTTCATCTTTTAGCTGTGCAAACATGACTCGCAAATTTCGTTTGTCTAGCATGATTCCTTCTTGGTAATATAATTTCATTTTCTATTAATATACGAGTCAGTTTCTCTTAAATAGTCCTCCCGAAAGCATTCTACCTCTTAGGCACATAGCCCTCATGTGCTTAATGTACATTATGGCATTATTAATTAAGCAAACAAACTAATTCACTTCGAATAATCCAAGGTACAGCTGCATGTCCCATTAGTTAACCTCAGCCTAACATTACAGGCTTTAAATAAAACTTGAATTAAGATTTAAGCAATATTCAGATTTCAAATCAAAGAAATGCAGTTTTCGTAACATCACAAATTAAATTTGAGGAAATTAAAATTCAAAATAGCACATGGTGAATATGCATAATGCCAACGGTTCGGGGCAATGAGGCTGGTCTGATCGGTGAGGCCAACTTGCATAAGAGTGACGACATCTTCGCCATGTTCGACAGTTCGCAGATACAGCGGATGCCCAGAATCTTTACATTGGTCAAGATAGCTGCAGCTAGTGCGAAGAGCTAAATGAATAGTCACTGCTTTGAATAAAAGTACCGCCACCTTTTTGCTCGATTGCCATTGTTCCTCAGGATACAGTAGGTACCAGGAACCCTTAATTTCCTATACACAATCTCGCGCGCTAGAGATAGATGTCCTCACCCCGCACAGTGCTGCCATTGCTCGCTTTGAATTATTTGAGTTCCGCTTATATCATAAAGAATGCAACTTTCATCAAGGCCGTCTATCAAGTTTCCTCGGCCGGAACTGCCATTAAAGATCTACGTCCAAAGTCGCTGCTTTGCATAAAAAGCTGCCTTTCTACAAGTTGCAAAAGATGCCCAGCGCTCTTATGAAACTTAGTTTATACCATGAAGAATGCAATTTTTATCAAGGTGATAGGAGGATCAAGGAAAAATCTTAAGTGAATATTCGCTGACTTGAATAAAGGTGCTGGAATCTTTATAAAATAGTCGGAGTGGTGGAACATAAAAATTCTCGCCTATTATGCTCTGAAGTAAACAAATCATAAGTTATGAATTTGAGAGTAGCTAACAACGAAGTGTTTAAGAAGATTTAATAGTTATCATAAGTTTATCTTTCGAGTTTATTTACTTATTAGCCCAAAGGGTGTTAGCCCAGTTGGGCTATTAATTTCGTTTTGGCATTTTGCGTTGGTTCACTATAAACGTCGGTTCACTTTTCAAATGGTTGCCACCAAATATTAGAGCCCTGTGTTATATTTAAAAAAATTAAATAATGAAAAATCTGCATAAATGTATGAATGTTTCTCGCATTGTGACAAAACAACGGTATCTAGAGCGATCCAATTTTGAATATCGTACGTCTCCGCCCGAATATGGGCATCTAGAAGTCCGAATTTGGAATTTGTTTTATTATCTATTTCATATTTTGTAAAACTTTGGTTTTTACGCATTTTTGATTAACAAACTCAAATATTTCAAAGCGAGCAATGGCAACACTGTGCGTGGTGAGGACATCTATCTCCAGCGCGCGAGACTGTGTATGGGAAATTATAAACATATGCTCATTTTAAAAGTACTTTGCGATATTGCCGTTGAACTGAATTTTATAGTTTAAGTGCGAAGAACATTATACTTAATAAATAAAGGCGACATACAAAATGTTTAAAATATGCCTCTTTGGGCGTAATGTAAAAATCTGAAAGGTTTCAGGTTTTTTTTTTTTTTTTTTTTTTTTTTTTTTTTTTTTTTAGTTCAAAGGGGCTTTGTCCATGAAGGACTATTGTTTTCGTTTTGTGATTTTGCGTTGAATCACTATAAATGTTCGTTCCACTTTTCAAACTCTTGCCACCACATGTTAGAGTCCTGCATTATATTTGAAGAAATTAAACAATGAAAAATCTGCATAAATGTATGTATATTTCTCGTATTGTGATAAAAACAACGGTACATAGAGCCATCGAATTTTGAATGACGTAATCCTCCTAAGAATATGGGCATGTAGAAGCCCAAATTTGGAATTTGGAATTTGCTTTATTATCGATTTCATATTTTGTAAAACTTTAATGAATATTTGATTAACAAACTCAAGAATTTCAAAGCGAGCAATGGCAACGTTGTACAGGTGAAAGGTGACGGAGGACGGAGACGCCTGAAGTTTAACAGAGGTTAACAGGCATATGTCCCGCGTCCTCCCCTGGAGTTTTTAAAACATTTTTATCTCCAGCGCGCGAGACTTTGTATCGGAAATTCTAACGGATATGCTCAATTTGAAACTATTTTGAGATATTGCTCTTGAACTGAATTTCATGGTTTAAGTGCAAAGAACGTGATATTTATTAAATAAAGGTAACAGATAAAATGTTAAAAAAACGCCCCTTCTAAATTTGAAAACCTTTGAGATTTTTTTTAGTCCAAAGGGGCTTTGTCGCTGAAGGACTATTGTTTAATTTTTAATTGCCATAAAATATTTTTCTTCTGATGAGTTTAATGTTTTTTGCTGCTTGGATCCTGTAATTATGATTCGGAATACCCATCCGCTCCTGCCAATGGTAACACAAACATAATATTTCGACTTAATTGTTATGCGCAATTTTAAGCAGGAATAAACTAAAAATTTTACACCTGGTTCTCATTTCTAAACTAAACTGATTTAAACTACTTTTCTCCCCCGAGTGGATTTGCCACCAACTTTCCCGTACTAACTTGAAAGTGAGACTGAAAAAATTCAATTCTAATGGGGTCAAACGCAATTGCAATTCAAATAAATCGATGTGTAAGTTTGCTAAATTTTTACTGTAAATTTTAAAAATTCAATATTCAAGTTTTCGTTGAGATGTTCTATCTATAAAATTAAGAAAACCGCTTTTTATTCTTTGCGATCAATAAGTTCGAAAATAATGGAAAGAAAATATGTCTTTCATTTCAGCAGATCGATTAAGTTTATGATAATAGCCCTTTCTTTAAACTGATATAATTGCTCGAATCGGATATCTTCTATGAACGCAATTTTTTTCATACATCTGATTTTTTCTAAGAATAGAATGTCTTTGTAAAGCAATAATAAAACATATAACTTCAATTACTAAGAAAGAAAAGTTTTTTTAGCTTCTTTGCTTTGTTTTGTAAAATGTTGCGAAATGATTGCATGAACTGATCGTAGCTTATGTTTTTACTTTAGGAAATGAGTCGAGTAAGATGTAGGCTTTCAGAAAAAAAAATATGATTAGATAAACGCTTTTTCTTAAAAATTTACGAGATATAATTTTTTTATGCAAGGCTTCTACAAAGTAAAATTCGAAACTACTTTCATGTACGCCCAGGATTGGCGAGAAACTCCCCGCGGCGTATTACTACTTAAACTTTTTGTCTACATTTCAAACTTTAAGCCTAAAATGTTGCAAAAACCACGTTTTAAATACATAATTTAAGCTAAAAATTCGACACAAAAACAAAAAATTTAAATAGAAAAATATAAAGTTTCTAACCAACAATATTTGACAAGAATCCATGTACACAGCGATATGTTTTAACTTAATAAAAACATCACAGAATTGCACAATCTATGCAGCGAAGGAATCTACGAACTACGTACACCTACCTTAAATAAATTAACATAACGACAATAAATTTCAAAGAATACCATATACACAGCGTTCTGTTTAAACTTTAAAAAAAATCTACGAATTGCACAATCTAGGCAGCGAAGGAATCTACGAACTACGCACACCTCGCCTTTAATAAATTAACATAACAACAATAAATTTCGAAATTACCATGTACACAGCTTTCTGTTTAAAAATTGAAAAACATCTGCGAATTGCACAATCTAGTCACTGCGCACTAATTAACAAAATAAAGCTAAAATAACTAAAATAAATTTCAAACAATTCAAAAAAAAACAACAATAACGACAGAAATTCATGCTAAAAAAAAAAAAAAAAAAGCAACGAACATAACATTCTACAATATAAGAACAAGAATAAAATAAAATACATTTAACATGAATGAATGCTTCTTCGAACAGCAGAAATATCAATTTCAAACATCACCAAAACAATTTCACCACAAATTTGTTAAAAGCATCTCCTCCCATTTCAGAACAACGATGGAAAAATATATAAATGACCAAATAAACTGCAAAATCGCATTTCCGATTATAAGTAGGTAACGTAGCTTTAACATGCCGCCGATCCGATCCGAGCATTTTATGCCGAGATATTGCGCGGCAGCGCAACGTGTCCGGCCCAATAACAGGTGACAGGTGACAGCAGGACAGGGCACCCGGACGGCTTTCTATGACTACTAGGATATTACCCTGGCCCTGCAACCATCTAGAGACTTCACAGTTGTAAGACGCTTTTATGCCAATTGTGTTTATTGCATGTGCCCTATTCCGGCCTGCAGAGGTCTATGCCCATTTTTTCTAGTTTGTCCATTATGCTTTTAAGCTTTTGCCGCGTGCCTCGATGTTTTACGAGAAGGCGTTTGAAAGGCAGAACATTGGTAGTTGGGAATTTGATATGCCATTCTGCTGTTAAGGGGCACTCCGTGACATAATGGTCTGGTGAGCCCACGTTGTCACAAACACACATATCAGTTGTTGCTAG